GAGTGAAGCTGACCCCCCACCCACAGAGAAAGGAAAAAAGGCAGTAATTATTGATAAGGTAGTAAGCATGCTGTAGCTTCACCTGTCGCACTTTCTTTTAAAGAAAGAAAAAGTAGCTCGCAAAGCTGTCGCATCGGTGCTACGTGATTAGATGCAGAGTTTTCATTGCCGTCTAAGCTCACACATGTCTTCCTATCTCTGTGGGGACCACACACATCGCTCAGCCTCGCTCTGCGCCGTCTTTTCCCCCAAGTTTGGTGAGAGGTGGATATGGAGGGACGCAAAAAAAATAGCTCTGGACTTGATCTAGCCTTATTCAACTACATGCCGTGAAATACTTAGAGAGGCGGGCCGTCTCATTGGCGCAGGGGGTGGGGGGTTGCTGTATAATGGTAGGGGAAACACAGAGTCATAAATGTACATTTTGGGGACTTTTTGCRATGCTATGGTTGAAAGGTGCATCAGGGTGGTTTATGGTTTTGCTCACATCGACGGGCCTTCACAGTGGCCTGTGTTGGACTGGCCATTGCCAGTGAAGTCAGGCACTGTCCAGTGCAGCTGCTTCACTCTGCTGTGTAACCCCCACAATGCCGTTCTTTGTACACCGAGCTGCTGGCTCGGACTGGCATRGAGGGATGCTTAAAGGGTAAAATGAAAACAAAATAGATGCCCGGGCGTACAGTACGATATTTATGTGGCGCGTTTGTCTGAAGTTTCCTGTTGGCGAACAGTAAGCTGTTTAATTAGTAATAGGCCTCTTGCCACGGAGGACCAGGGTGCATTGCTGAATTGAATTGGGGTTTGAAGTCCATCCACTGCTGTTAACCTTCTGAGCTGGCGAAYGAGGAAGTCACAGAGCTGAGTTGGTGTGAAGTAGATGCATATAGTTCCATTCAAACAAAAAGGTGAGCCATGAAGTAACTTTGCCGGGAGTTAAAATGAGGTAAATGCAAACTAATGCACAGCACCATCGTGTATCATGCTAGTAAKTAGAAAAAACAAGATGAACTACAGAACATAACATGTAATGCGAAAAAAAATTGCATTCTATAGAACTTTAAAGWAATATAGTTGTCTGAGTTTTAACCTGGGTCGTCCACTTTCAGGAAGACGATCTTGAACGTTTTTCTCCTGTGATTAATCTTTTCAATGTAGAAGAAATGCTAAATTGTTTTTAAATTGCCTTATTATCTTTTTAACACTGATAAAAATCAGCTGATGTTATTTTTTTCCTTGTTTGACCATTGGTTTAAAATAACATGCTGACCACACAGCCCAGTGTTTCCATAAGAATCTCCTGAAGCTGTGACTGAGTGTCTTAAGGTTTTGACTCATCAGTCTAGAGTGTTCTCTGTCATTTTCATGCATTTTTCCTGCAATCCAAAGTTGTGGCTTTGATTTCACAATGAAAGCATTCTGTACAAATCTGCTTTAGTTATGCATGCGGTGAGATGATTTTTAAATTTTTTTTAGATTAAAAAGTTGAAGCCGGGTCAGTCGGGAAGTCCAAAAGGGCCCCCCGAAGAAGGACAAGAGAGTCTGGACTGTGCTGAGCCAAGACAAGCATGTCAGGGATTTTAAAATTTTTTTAAAAGACCATTTTGTAATCTCAGCAGGGTTCTCCACAGAGAGAGGTGGGCCAGACCAGAGGCGCCTCTTAGAGGGAGGCTAGAACAGTTTGAGAAAACAGAGGAGCAAAGTGATCATTTGCATCTTAAAGTTAAAATCAAAACAAATATGAAACTTCTGAATTTGATAAGTAGCAGTAATAAACCACTGCAGCCTGTGTGTAATAA